AAAAAAACCAGGCAATATGAAAATACAAAATATAGTAGAAAGCGTGAGAAGTTGCATATGTAAGAATAGAACTAAGAGACAATAATAACAAAACAATTTTATCATTCTTTATATTTATTTTCTATTAGCTTTGCCCTCTCATATTTAAAGGGTTTAGTATCTGTGGTAGAGCTTGCACAAAATCACCATCCCACAGATCTCTATAGGGTGTGATCAGAGTTGTTTGTATCTCTCGATCTGCTTAGAGCTCCAGAGCAGATACCACTTAGTGGTTTTCTAAGCAGTATGAAGACAAAAAAGTCAGCAGTACTCCAGCTTTATAGGTCCTATAGACTGGTATTTAGTCACTGTTAAACAGAAGCCAAAACTGGGGCCAAAATTATACAGATATTGGCCCCAGCCTTCCACAAGACTGTTGCCCCATTTAGTGTTTTCTCCACAAACCAATGAAATCAAGCAGGGATGAGTGAACACTGCTGTCATTCAGGTTTGGTTTTTCTCCTGCTCCAGCAAAGACCTAATCTCAGTCGAAACACGCAGCTAATGCTCACATCTAAGTTCTTTAGGATGTATAAATGACAGCTGCCCTCTTTCCAGCTTTCCACTAAGGATATAAATAAAACATGATCCAACTAAGCTGTATCCTTGATAAATATGCTGGAAAGGTGCTTACCCGTATCTACAGTGGAAGCAGAATGAGGAGCTGCACCATGCAGCGTCTCATCTTCCTGCACTACATGATGTAAGCACTAGATATACAGAGCTGTACTTTTAGTCCTTCCTTGTACTTCTTGCCTGGAAAGATGCTGGGCCAAAAGTTGAGCTTGAATTGCTTTGTGCACCTTGTGCTGCAGTGAACTGAATAAAGGTTTCTTGACTTAAGCACAGGTCAGAACTCAAGCACTGGACTGAAGCTTTAAGTGAGTCTGAGACATCCATGTGACTGCAAGGTCCCTCACAGCACTCCCTGACAGCTGAGAGAATATTTAAGCTTCTCTATCAATGCAGCCTTTGCCTCTTTACAGCAAGTGCAAAGCATGCACACTTGAAGACACTGCCCTAAGAAATAAGATATTTCTCTTTCTAATGCCTACTGGGAATGTTCTATGTTAGCAGTTTTTTATTAGTTGTGGTATTTATAATCTCATTCCTATTTCAGGCAAAACAACCTACCTTTCAACTCTGATAATAAAATGCAGTTGACAGTGAAAACATCAACATGTTTAGTCTTTATTCTTCAGTTTTGGTTGGTACCAGAATCAGAAGAATAAAACTGACCAAAGGACTGTTTTTAATATAAAGCTGGCTAGCTGCATGACCAAGCCTGTTCTAACAGGACCTCAATTTCACCTGATTTGCCACTTTTGTAACAGAGTATTCAGTTTTCAGGATATCTCTGCATTCCACCTGCATGTTTTCTATTTCTCTATCTCTCCTTTTTATGAGTCCTTACTTTGTTTGATACAAAACTGGAATGTGACCCTTTTGTTTCTTGTTTTCAGGAGACCACTGGTTCTGTCTACTATCTTATCTTGGATGTAGTAGATACTGAATGCCATGTACTCAGCAAAAAGTTGTGGAAGGACTGTGACACCAGATCTGCTCATTCAACTGTAAGGATTTTATTTTTCTATTTAATTTCACATATGATGAGTTACTTAGGTACTACTGGTGACTGCAAAATCCCTACACTTGCATTTTTAGGGCCAACAAAGCCTAGAAAAAAATTAAAGCCCATTTTATAATATCCACAGTTTTACTCTGTACCTTGTAATCAGTTTATAGAGTGGTAAGATTTATTTTAAAAAGTGAAAATTAAAAGAAATTTTTTGACCAGAGCTAATAGACCAAACTAAATAGCCACGCTAGGACACTGTTTAGAATAATGGTTTACTTTTTATAGCAACCCTATAAGAGTTTATTTTAAAGACAGTCTGTCAAGGGGGGGAAGAAAAAGAGATACAATTTTATATAACATGTGATTTTTGGTTTAGTTTAATTCCACTTTTATTCTGACAACTTTGCAAAAATTGCACTGAAATAAGAGAAAAAGGAAAGCTCAGCAAGATAAGCTGCAAAGACAGAAAGCGATCCAAAACTGTTGCTACAGGTGACCAAAACTGTTCTGAGCAAGTGAAAAGGACTCTTAGAAAATGAAGAATGACAAGAAACAAGGTTAATATGAAAAAAAAAAAAAGTTATGATTAAATTGTCCTAGACTGCTTCTAAGGCAAATCAATTTTAACTTTTCAAAGAAAAACTAGAAAAAAAACCAAAATAAGAATTCTGCTCTCTTCTCATTACAGTGTTTTCAACACAAAAAGGGCACAAAGCCTATAGGTTGATATGGCTTCAGTGAAGCCAAGAAATGAATGTCCAGAGGCCTTGAGCACACATGTAGGAATATCTAAGGACCTCTCAGAGAATATACTTTCAACTCTTCAATATAAAAGCACAGTGGATACTAAGAAGCCAGTATTTTTTCAGCCATAAAGTCAGAGTTTTTTGTGTGCAAGCATGACCCTACTATGCCACGAAACTCATTTATGGTCCTTACTACCACTCTCCCTATGATTATAGGGAAAAGGGGGAAGCTGGAAGACAGGTGACTGGATCCAGACACTGAATTATCCCTGGGTTTAAACTCTCAGGGTTCCAGACATAGATCCAGGCCAGGACAGAGAGCCAGGAACACTCTGTGACATTTGGGCACTTCTCAACTGCCAGAAGAGTGGCTCTGGGCAGGCAACCCAGCAGCCAAGCACTGTATGTGTATAGCTCAGAATCACACCAGGGGATGAGCTGGCCTTTTCTTTTTAAATGAGATGCTTAGAAATGTGATCATTTTTATCTGAGTATTAATAAAACTTTCATCTTGAAAAGAATTCCATGATTGCAAGAAGAAAATGAACCACTCCTGTCTATGTACTAGATGATCAGTAAAGCGTGCAATATTAATTGTTTCTAAATGTTTATATTGTTTTAGGTTTACGGTCAATGCAAAGCAATTATTTATATTAATCAGGCAAGAAATATTGCTCATCTGAATTCTTATGAGTGCACTTTACAACCAGGTATGTCTTTAACACACACTTTATAAGAGAACTGGAAAAACTCCTTGCCAAATAGCATTACTTTAAATTTTAAATGTAATTACGACACACAGTATCTCCATTAGCTTCAGCTGCCCTGATTTTCTCAAGTCAGTGATCATAAGGCCAGGGAGGTGCTGCAGCTCAAAAGAGTTCAGTAATAACTGCTTTAACCTCTGGGACACTCAGCAGAGCCTCTATATGGGCTTTTACCCTCTGAACCAGAAAACATTTTTGTGGGTTTGTGAAAGGCAAGGAAAAACAGCAAGCCCACTGTCAATAGGCTGAATTTTTCCTTCAGTGCCTGTCTCCACTGCAACATTTTTATGGGTCTGCAAATACATAAAGATCAGAAATTATTGAGGGATGCAAACCACATATCCTTACTACAGGGGAGTGGAAGACAAGTGGGCAGGGCTGGGGGCATAGATGCATTTACAGTGACCTACATTATCAACACGCTTTTATGGTTATGCCTTCTCTAACGACATTGTTGTGTTTGAATAAAAAGTTCTACCCAGATATATTTCGTCAGTATGTCCCGACTGCCCACTTGATGATTCCCCAACCAAACCTCAATACTTGGATGCTGCTGTTCAATGCCTTGACAAGTTCAATAGACAGAGTGAACAAGCTCATTACTTCTCTGTCCTCAGTGTCACAAGAGCTTCAATGCAGGTAAGCCAAGGCTCATCTGACTTGTTTTAGCCCTCAAGAATCCTTCCATTCAGAATACTCCTGATCTTGTTGATCCAAGACTCCGATTTCATTTCTTGCAAAAAGAAGGGCTTTATGCAAAAGTCAAGACAGACTTGCTTCCAAAGTTCAGAAAAGCTTCACTGTTAATTCTTTCTTCTTCTGCCACCATGAATTTGCAACTCCCTAACAGGAAGTATTTAATAAAGCACAGTCATACCTTCCAATACGTACCTGCAATTCACTGAATGAGTGTAAGCATGGTTTAGAACTAATTTTAGACTAACAGAGAGCTCATGATCTCATGGCTAAGTCCTCTTTGCTTACCACAGTATTAACTAGTCTCTCTAAAATTCAGCATGTGTAGATAGCAACATGGTTTTTCTTCTTTGTCTAAACTGTCAGATATTACTACCATATACTTTTTAATTACTTCCATTTTCTAACCTACATTTCAGAAATAGTAAAATGATCCTATTCATTAAAACAACCAAAAATTGTCAACAAGACATTGAAGAGGGTCTTTAGTTATGTAGTTCTACCTGGATGCTATCTTATGACAAAATCTAAACCCATTTCCACTATGCCAATCCATGAGTTATTAAGATTGTGCATATATAAGAAGTAATAAATGACCAGGCAATAAAGCAGCACTGGCAAAAAAACATTCACTGTAACACAACTAACAGTAGTGCCCCAAGTATCATCTGTTTCTTCCAGACTTGGCAGGACTTTTTAATATATTTCAAAGTCAGTAGAATTCTTTATTCTTCCTGACATATACACAAGTTCTAATTGCCACTGGCCTCTCATTCACAGTGGATCATTGGTCCTGCATATTTTGTGGAGTTTTTAATTCAGGAGACCTCTTGCTCCAAAGATGTCAAGGATGCTGACATCTCGATGTGTGAGCCACTTCCACCGGAAGTAGCTGTAAGTACTTTTCCTTGTATCAACACCAGTGTTCCAGATACTGATTCCTCAGTGAATATTTAGTATTTATTTCCTTGGCTCTTTGCAGACAAGGATCAAAACCCACAGTCATATTTTTATGGATCATAGCTCTATACTGTCTTGCAGCTCTACAGACTGCTTTAGAATAGGGAAACATCTCAGCAAAAGTTCTGAATTCTTACCAGAAGTCCATAAGCAAAGAAAACAAAAAAATACCATCCAGAAAAAGGTGGAGTAGCCATTGCCTTACAAAACTGAATGAGTCTAAAGGATTTCTTCCAAAGAAACAGACATAGAGAATAAATCAAAAACAATGCATGAAAAGTATATTCATACTACAATCACGTCAGTTAAGGAAAACATTTAGGAACTAAGGAAAAAATTGTAGGAGAAATTGGAAGACTAAATGGGCATGTTGTCAAGAGATAACATTTCAAGCCCCATCTTAAGTGAGATCCAAGCCATGATACCTACAGCCCAGTACAAACACAACTATTAGAAACAGCATTTTTTTTTCAGTTTCTTTCACTAGTATGGCGTGAAATTGGTTCTTTGTGGAAAATTATATTATGTTCCACACACAACTTGCCTGCAAAGGGATATTCTGTTTCGGGAGAACTTAAGCAAGCTGTTGTAGTTTGGCCTTGAGTAGCCAGCTTAGTTTTGCTATTGTGTTACCTAACCCTCCTTTGCAAACACAAGGCCTTTATCAAAACACTGCCTGCCTTTATGAGGTTGCCAATCCCAAAATAAAAGTTTGCCCAAGCTGTTTATCCCTACAAATACACTTAAAAGCTATAACTATTCAGCCTTTCATAATCACTTATTTTACAAGATAGGAGCTTAGTATCAGGGCTCCATGTGAAAAAATTCTTGTATTTTCTTCTTACAGAAAATCGGTTTCTGCAAAGGCTCTGTAGTAAACAGTCATGTGAATCCATCTGTCACTGTATCCTGTGAAATCTACGGTCAGCAGGTATTTCTTAATCTACTCTTAATATTGCAAGAGTAATACTCCTTTACAAAACAGGTATTGAAATTTTGAAAGCCTAGACATTTTTAAGTTTTCTTATTCACAAAGACATGTGCTTCAAGAAAGTGATAAAGCCAGATCAGGAAGAAATCTCTCTTGTGATAAAACAGACTGCTACTGGGTGGATAAAAAGGCAATAGAGTGAGTATAGAGATAATCCTGCAGAATGTGTTCAGAATGCTCCACAATGAAGTTGTAAATCACAAAAGGAATGCAAGGGGATATTATTGTAGTTACCCAAGTTTCATGCACCCATCTCCACTGGTACAAGAAGCAATTGTATCAGTTTATCCTTTGAGCTTCTGTTCTGCAGCTGGTCTAGAGTCTACAGCTCTTCTGTAGGACTAGAGATGCAGCAGATCCTTAGTATGAAGGGTAATCTTCAAATCAGAATGGATTTGGAATTGCTTCAATTTAGATAATGCTTATTCCTTGTTATTTAGGATCCTGCCACTGAAGAGGAAAACCAGGAAGCTAATCAGACACCTGGAAAATCCAGGCAGGATCAACAGGCTTCAGATGCCAATCTTTTCTCCCCACCCCTGGAAAAAACAGTGGGCTGGGTTAAAATTCTACCCCCTTCAGATGAGGACATCACTTTCTATAGCCTACAAGAAAGTCAAAATGAACATAAAGACAGAAAGCCAGCTCTTCCTAAGGATGCAGGATCTGCCCACAGCCTTGATGAAGAAAAGGCTCAAGTAAACAAACCAGACTTGAGCAAACCAGTCACTAGACCAGTTATTCTCCCTTTTCCTGAAGAACCTTCTCTGTCAGATTCATGTCCAGGAGAAGCAAAGCAGGTGGAAGGCATCCTCCATCCTTTGATAACTAGAAGGCCTCCCAGAGTCTAGCCAGCACCCAAGTAGCACAGTGATCTGCAACAAAATAACAGCCCAAATAGCAACATAGTTCTCAATTTGTGTAACACCTTCAAATAAATAAATTGTTAATTACAGTCTTCATCTTTGGCATTCTCACTTTTATAAAAGCACAAGAACAGATTGGGACAAGAAGTTTAACTGGGGCATTTTCCAACAAAAGTATTTGGCTTTGAATTCTCAAAATTTGCTCCATCAGGCAAAGCACGAAGGAAAGGTAACTGTGGAAGATAAAAGAACTTGCAGGGCTTGGACAGCCAAAAGACATTGGAAAAAATATCCTTGGTAGCAAAATCTGTCAGGGCTCAGTTCAGGGTGGCTGCTTCCCAAGGGACGGGGAGATGGAGCCAAGTGTGACAACCAGGCTGGCGGGGCAGGAGCCTGTCCAGCGGTGCCTGAGAGAGGCGAGCAGGGCACACCCAGGGATGGAAGTCAGGTTATAGGAAGGAGCCAGCTCACTGCATAAGTTCAGGGGCAGAGAGGCAGGTCTGAGATCAGGCCATAAATGTGAGTTAGCAAGGCATGGTCAGGGGCTGGTGTGGTTATAGTAGCCAGTCAGCCCAGCAGTGTCCCAGCAAGTCTGCAGTGACCAGGCAGGTGTGAGATACACAGGGCTGCAGGTCTGAAACTGGATCTGCATCTGCAGCGTTTGGGGCCAGGCACAGGCAGGGCTGTGATGCTGCAGGAGCTGGAGCTCGGGCAGGGCTCCCAGCACTGTAGCCTTGGCTTAAAGCAGCCCCTGTGGCCTGGCCCCAGCACTGCCCACAGCCTGTCCCCAAGGTCACCAAGGAACAGACTGTCCCCAAGGTCACAAAGGAACAGCCCCAGTGTGCTGAGCCTGGCACCCAGCACCAAACCCTCTTGGAGCAGGGATGCTCTCAGGGCCTTAGAGTGCCCCAGCATGTGACAGGGCATGAACAGGGAACAGCACTTCAGCACTGGGTAGCATTAAGAGCTAGTGAGGTTTTGGTATTATGTGGGTAAACTTCTTAATTATAATGTGAAGAGCTTAGCCCATTTTTTTATTTCCCATAGCAAATCTGAAGAAAGATTTTTTCTTAATGCTTTATACCTCACTTAAAGCATGTGGATGAGCCTACACATGTGTGAAGCCTCTGCACATAATTCTGGCTGGTAAAGAATCAAATCCAGACTATTGAGACTGTTATGCTCTAGTGATGCTGCTGTGCAGGAAAAACAATGATTTAAAAAATCAGCCTAATTCTTTCTTGAGATAGGTCACATTAACTGCTCTATAATAAAAGACACAGGAACACTTGACAGCCTGCAGCCAAGAAAAATCAATTTCACTGAAGTCAGACATGGTACTTGTACTGACAAAAACAAATATAAATAAATGAGAAGACCAGAAGAAAAAGAATAAAGATAGGAAAGAAATGTCATTTGGGGCCAGGAGTACACTGATATTTGCAATAATTAAGAGGTTTCTATGAGACTATAAAGCCTTTTTCCAGTTGCCACCAGATCTGTAAAACCGTTTGTTCAAAACAAAATCAATAAAATATTATTTCTGAAGCTTTTGTGATACTGTTTCATCCCTAGAGATCCTGGTTAATTTCTACATTTAAAGAGTCTTCAAACAAAAAATTATAGTTTTGTCAAAGTATCCTGGCATTACACAAGTTGATTAAAATGTATTATTTTAGTATTATAAATAAAATATAAAGTGCTATTTTATTTTGAGTGGGGCCAAAATAATATTGAAATATTGTGTGGAATTATATTCAGATAAACTATTTTGCATTTTCAGTCTGCAAAACTCTTACAAACATAAATTTGATATAAAGAAGTAATTTAATTGCTTCAAAGATTAAAATAAGCCAAAACTTGATGTGTGAAATGTATCAACTTAGCCAAAAATAATTCCATTTCAATCCTAGATTATGAGAAATTTCAATATAATTTTGTTTCATTCATTTCAGAGTAGAAAAACTTTCAAAATTGGATAGTTCTTGAAAAATCCTAAAATTCAAATTCTAACTAATTCCTATTGCAGTAGGAGCTCTAGGCTGTGTCAGCATTCCCTTTTTTGTCAAGTCATCAAATTACAGCATCTTGTTTTTCCCTCAGGAAGTTTCACCTTTGCCAGCTCAGGTTTCTCTAACACAACCAGTGTGTTCTCCTTCCCTGGACAGGAACTGCTGATCTGCCATATGCCAAAATCTGGGATCCCAGGCACTGCTCCGTGCCCTCACACAGAGCACCCATGGCTGCCTTTAGTGAGTCAGGGAACAGAGCACTGGGGGAACAGCCTGTCACAGCTGAGGGGATTTTCAAAATGCTGTGTTTGCCCCTCTTTTCAGTTAATCACCATGCTTCTCACTTCTGCTATACAGTCCTTTTTATTAACTGTTTGCATGTTGATTCTATTCTCATTGTGGCTCCATCAGTTTAATAATGCTACTGAGATTTTTATCAACATACACAACCAGATTCTTCCCCTAAAGGAGCACTGGGGAAGAAATCAGCTTCATTAACTGCTAGTCACAGCCAAGAATACCCCATTTCACTGAGTTCTTTTTCTTGACTATGGCGCCTTACAACAGTAAATTGAACAGCCACAGTGAGTGAAGATAAATGGAGTGGAGCTGGTGTGAACATAAGCAGGGGAAACTGGAAAGTCTGGATGCACAGTCTTGAGCATTCCATTTGGATACTGTGTAGCCTGTTCTGCAGATGTGGCTCAAAAATGACATTTGAATCAATAATTCCCCTAACATGGATTTGGGATTTGGGTTCAAAGACTTCTCTGATTTAAAAATAAACAGCAGAAGGGGTATTTCTCTGAGCAGTAACTGTACCTCCAGAACAGAACAACAAAGCACCAGTGGTCAGTGCAGAGTCATGAGAATTCCCTTTATTTGCTGTGGCCACTCCAGCACAGAGTCCATACCCAGTTTCAGTGTCACCTGGGCCACCGCCAGTGTTTACCATAACACAGCCCCGGTACTGATGTCCAAGATTAAATTCTTGAATTACAACAAGGAGTCTGAGGTTGTATAGTTTCTGTGTTTCCTTTGTCCTCAGGACACACCTGGATACTGCAGCACTCTCATATGGCATTGATATTATTAACAGCTGGTAGCATTTAGTCATCAGGACTCAAATCCTGCTGCTGATTCAGCACCTTTATGCCAATCTGGTGAGTGGGCCTGCACTCTCACTGCAGCATTCTCCCTCGGGGACACCCACATGGGCAGCCTGTCTCCACACAGTGACTCTGAGATAGGACTGCAGGAAATCCTCTTAAAAACATGCCCAGGTCATGCTAAACCTCTCCATCTTCTGGCCTGGTCTCAGCTTCCAGCCAATGTGAGCAAAGCAGCTGGGCACTAACACACTCTATGTCCCTCCAGCCACACCCCAAATGCTCCTCACCTCCTCCAGGACTCTGAACTGTTACGTGCTGCTTGTCCTTGTCTGGCAGAAAACAGGCCAGTGGCACAAAGAAGCTCTTCATCCAGTACTGGAGCTGAGAAGCAGATGGATTTGGACAGACAATTTCCAATTCACTTTTCAGTTTTGTTTTACAGGTTTTCAACACTTATTGATTTTATGATATGATATGATATAATATCATCCATTAATAACTTGTTATCTGGGCAATGTTTAGCTAAAATGTGGTCTGATGTTTATTTGAGCAAACATTCCAATTTCACACAAACAAAGTTTTTATTCAGGCACAGATAAATGATGGTTAATGACCTCCAGGACTGTTGACATTATTATCTGATATTTTCAAGCCTTTACCTCAGAATATAGGTGAGGCACCATGAATTCAAACATAGGAACAGTAATGTTCAAAGGAAACAGAAGATTTTAAAAAACAAGATCCAGACATCAAAATTCTTAAGATGGGTTTTAAAAACAAGGTTTTTATAAAATAAATTAAATATAAAATCTATTTTTGTGACTTCAGAACCTATCTATTGCACACACTTCATAATTAAGCATTTTCTTCTGCATCTGAGATGTAGAAATTCCCCTGACTCCATGCTTAACATCAAATTCTTAACCTCACCTTTTCCCCCGGCCTCTCAAGCCTCTCTGCAAAAGGTCAGTCTTTCAACATATCCTTACAGTCATCAATTTACAATTAGACTATTTTTTTGTGAAAAGCAATTTGCAGCCAAAGACACTGAGGACAAGGCAAAGAATACTGATACCGTTTTTATTCCCCATATTAGTCCTCTTAAGCAATGAGACTTCTGTAACCACATTGTCAACCTGCTCACTTGACAGTTTGTCTCCTCCAAATAGCTTTTGAACTTAAGGTCTCTTTGAATGAAATTTGATAGACAAGGTGATAAAACTTCTACACATTAGATAAAAACTGGTGACTGATAAAGAAAAATAAGCTGCAGGCAGAGAAGGGAAGCTGGAGCTGGAGCTGCTTCTCTGAAAACCATAACCAAAGCAAATTTATCTAACATTGTGTTTGTATTGAGGGCATCCTGTTTACACACAGCAGACAAAAATAAAACATGCCACATTTACATATTTTTCCATCCTACTTGGGGGAATTCCTGTTTAGTGCAGAGCCACCCCAAGAATTGCAAATCTTTTTTGGTTTTGGCATCAAGACCACCAAGATCTGAAGCTCTGGGGAATTTCAGACTAAAAAAAAGAGAAGCCAGCCCAGAATTCACCTCTAAGCAAGTGGAACCACACGTATCTGTATTAGCTGGGCTCTGGCTTGGGAGCAGGAACAGGAGTGGCTGCAGAGCAGCACAGTACGAGCCAGGAAAGGCCTTGCTGCCTGCAAGGTGACTGAGCTGTGCCATGTGGTGACACCAGCTTGGGTGTGAAGCTCTCCTGCAGAGGGCAGAGAACAGTCTGCTCATAGCAGCTGTGCTCACAGGAAACCAGGGATATTTATAAATAGTTACAGCTGTAACTTAGGAAAGGAGGAATTGGTTATTGCCTATCATCTCCTTTATGTGTCAGCTCTCCTTTTCCTATCCCTCTAGTTTAAAGTTATATTTATTACGCATTTCATACACTGCTTTTCAAATGGGGAAGATAAGCTTCTTTTTGATGTGTTCTCCCAGTGCTCTGGTTATGTTTAAGATGGATGTTTATTACCATATCCTTAAAGTTTGAATGTGGATCACCTCTTACTGTTGCAAGTCAAGCCTTGGTAAAAGTCATAAACGAGGTTTTAATGCACTACGCAAGAGCAATGCCATGTTTGGATAAACATTTATATTCCTTCCAGCAATCTATTTACACAGGTGGCTTCATTAAAGCAGCACACAAAACTTAAAAGTAATAAATATAAAAACAAAGTAAGTTTTTAAAAAGATATCAAACTGAAGGAGAAGTGATAAAAATACATTATCCTGACTTAAGTACAACCAATATTTAATTAACTGCCCTTACTGTGCCTGGAGTTCTTGTCAATGTCGTACTTTAATAATAGAGTCCAATCTTTCTTTTCCAAAAAAATCAAGGACAAAACTCTCTAGAGTGGGAACAGAATCTTACTTTACTTCCACAGTCAATTTTGCAGGAATTGCACATTTCCACTGTTTATTCATACTGTTTCAATTTCATACATAAAATATACATAAGCTATGGTCAAAAAAATGATGAGTGTCACAATGAACAACCTAGAACAGAAGAGGAAAAAAAGAACAATCTGCAAACAACAGACAGCTAAGGGAATTATGTTATAAATCACCTAATCCAATGCCTTTCTTCAATATCACTGCCCATTTAAGAAAATTAACCAGTATTGTAATAAATGAATTGAGGTGCAATTTGGAACACAACAATAATGGGAATTTTATTTTTAACTGATGAGATATATTTCAAATGTCTTTGATTATTTACACAACACTTATTTCACTGGTTTTTTTTCCATCCTCTGTAAAAGTTTCTGAGTAATTATAATGAAATATTGTAAAACCAAACCAAAATAAATTCCCTTTTTCATCAGAACTGTTGTAAATCCATCCCAGTATCCATCCAGTGGCAAAAGACAATTGTGGTTAGAAGAAGCTTATGACCTGCCCCTCTCTGCAAACCATTCCTCTTGTACTTTTCCAGCACTCAGAATCATTGTACCAGGGACTTTAAAGGGTAATCTTCTGCTGAGTCCTTCTCATATCCAGGTAAGCACCTGCTGCCCATGAACTTTTCTAAGCAATTTCTGCCCCCAGTAACCGTATCTGCATCCAGATCTTTTTCTGTGGCAACAACTTCCACAAGAGGGGGGACTGTTTTTAACCATTTTAATCCTACTCATGATGGTTTTGGGTGCCCTTGGTTCTAATATTGTAAGATGCTCCATTTCACTTATCTATCACCAGAGAACTGTTAGGTGTGTACTGAACTAACTATGAATGAAATCTACTGCTTCAGCTCAGTCCATTTTAAAACACGGTTTCTCAGACAACAGACATGCTAAGAGGTGGATTTTTTTTTTTAAATAAAGATTAATGAAATAAGGTAATTGTTAAAGATGATAATTCACTGTATTTCTGAAGGTTTCTCAAAAAAATAAGTAAAAATTCCCTTCACAGACAAAGATGTAAATCCAAGTCACAGGATCATTGAATGCTTTGGGTTGCAAAAGACCTTCAAGATCATCTGGTTTCCAGCCCCCAAGTCAATTATACAGCCAGCAGCTTTTCTGTGAGAAGCTAATCTAATCTTCTCATCAACCTGGATTTGGAAAATTCCTCATCTGAGTCTGACCTTGTAGTTTTGGACTCACTTTGCATTTTCGTATTTTCTTATTCAGTGTTTGAATTTTGTATTCCATCTTCAGCCACTCTCTGACAAGCAATTAGTGTCATTTAAGAATGTCTTAAACTATCCTGAATAAAAAAATTTGAATACAATGAGACAACATCTCATCCTTTCTGCTTAGGAGAGGATATTGGCATATCCCTGAAAGGTATAAATCTTACTAGGTACTGCATTATTTTATTAAATACAAAATTCACCAGCAATTCTCTAAAGGAGTCTATGAAGGCTATTACAGCCAAAAAGCACACAAAACTGCTCAGGCTGAGAATGAGAAGGAAAGGAAGTTTTATGTAACTTTTTGCCATACCTAGATTACGTGGGTATTAGGCCAGTCAGTCCCTTTCTGAGTACCAGTCTGAAATTATGTAAAGGTGATAGAAATCTGCTCTAAATTTTATTGAGCTGGAGGAGAAGCAGGTACTCACATAGCAGCTACAGACCACCAGCCAGCAGTGCACCTTGAGCTATGTCCTTTTTCCACATCTGAGTGAATTCCTTATTTCCCTGTCACTAGTTGCCTGGTGGTTAAGGATCTGTAAAAACAGGGATATGGATATAGCCATAATTTGACCACAAATACTTCAGCATATTTTCAGTTTAACTGTTTTAATAGTAAACGGAAGACCAAGATTATATAATATCCGCACACATAAACTGGACCTTCTTACTGCCAGGCTCAGCCTTATGCTGTTAAAAGTAAATACTTTCCATGGTAAAGTACCATTGCACAATGCCTGCTTAAAGAATCACCAACAGGCCCTTTGAAGGGTAGTCCAGAGAGTGTTATAAAGCCTACTTTCCTCAAAATCTACTCCATCACCATATAATCATTTACTTGCTGTTTGCAAATGTTAATCCAGGGTCAAGGTAATGGCTGTCTGACATGACACTTAAATTGAAAACCATGCCCTTTTAGCATTCATTTACAACTTCGGTGGGCTGCTCTGATTTAAAAGCAAGCTGGCTTTATCAAGGCATGGGCATAAGTGACCTAACACTGCAAACAAAATGATGCTTCTAGCTTCAGCTTTTTTTCTAACACTACTGCAGTGCTCTAATGCCCAAATTACACCTGCAGACTGCAACACCATTGAAACAGATGCAAGAGTGGCCCTGGATTTGGTCAACAGACATCGCAGAGATGGTTATGTTTTTGGTTTATTCCGTGTTGCCAATGCACATGAACTACATTTAGTAAGTATGAACTTAAAGGCTGATTTACACAAGACTGTGATTTTTAAATGTTTAATGAGCCAGGTCATTAAGAGCTTATGTTTATTGCTTTTACTAGAACAATGTTGATGTAATCCAATGAATCAGCTGTGATTTACACCATCTCAATATTCATTTGTGTATGACTTACTGCACATAAGCTTGATTTCAAACAATGCCAAATGGCCTCTCTTCTCTTGGTCAGAAGGATGTTTGCATAAGAGATGCTCTGAACAGCTTTATACAACTCTGGAAATTAATCTGTCCTGTCTGCTGTCTGGTGTCAGATGTTATACTCAAAATTTATATTCAGGTTTCTTTAATCTATGAATGCCTAACATTAATTAGACCAATGTACCCTGCAAGACTGGTATTTTGTTATTATCTTAATTTCAGAGATAGCTGAATAAACTGGTGGAAAGGGAAAAAGGCAGAGGAAGTCAAAGGAGTTGTTACTCTGCAAAACAGGAGAGGGACTGGATAGAAAATCTCTATCGGTCATTTCCTATTTCCTTCCTATTTCTATTTCCTATTTCCTAGAGAAGATACATAAGCCTTTCTCAATGACTGCTGAAATGCCAAAACAAATCAATAGTAGAAAAAGCAATAGAATAAAAATGTCTTTAACTAGTACATAAAAGAGACCAAGGACAGGCAGATTTACTAATCCATCCACCTGGTAGCTTTTAGCTGCTTGACTAAGATATTGGTATCCAGGCACACATGCATCATCCCAGAAGTCTCAGTATGGCAACAGAAAAAACAGGCCAGTTTTTGATGGAGCTTCTTAGTACTGCCTGTAAGGACAGGTACAGACTCAGAAAGTGACCCAAAGCCCAGGTTATCACAGGTCTTCAGGTACACCTGCAAAAAAACCTGATGGATTATTTTACTTTTCAAAGACAAGAATGCAGCAAGTTATATATTGTGTTCTACACAGTAGCCAGGCAGTTAAAGAGCTTAATCTAGGAAGGATCTCCTCTGCAGTTATGTGCGTGCCAACCCTCTGAAGTGGTACCACCAGGCAGCAAGATATGCAAAATGCATTGGATTCATGATAAAAAATGAAGTTGTGTCTAAAAAGAAAAATCTCAGTGTTTCTACATTTTAAGCAACAATTGTCTATATAAAGTATAAACCATAACTTGGAATATGGGCTAGTGCTGAGGATCCACACTTCCAGATGAATGCTATAAATACTAGAATACCATGTTTATGTCTTGCTTTGTACCCTTAATGAATTTTGCCATCTTTGCAGTCCAGGGCCACAGCTTCAGGTGTCACACAGTGCCTACAAGAACAGAAAAGGCACTTCTGACTGCTAAAGAATCCTCCCTGTAAGGTTTCTATATCTTCTCAGACCCGAAGCCACCAGATGTGGCCTCCTGCACACTAATCATGTGTGCAATATTGTGCAAGAATTCTTTTTTGCTCCACTGCCAAGATAACAATAAGAATACCTATTTATTAAAAAGAAAAAAAAAAGACCAGAACATTTTTTTTGTTTGTCCATCCAATAGTGTGCAACAGGTTTGTCACATCAGCCCCCTCAGAAATCTAAGCATACGAATTCCAGCCAAATCTCTACTGGGTTTACACAGGAACTCTAGAAGCATAAGATACTCAAGTATTCACAACAAAACAGTTCTGGACTTGTGCAGAACTGTAGTGACTAGAATGCTTTTAAAACAACCAAGAAGGAACCATTTTTTTCCTCAAGAGCTATTGAGCAGATAAACAGAGGAATTTTCTCCTGCATATTTGGATGTAGACACTTAACCCCTATTTTAAAATCAGAGACAATGCTAAGATACACAAATATTGCAAAACCAGCATTTAACATGACATTGGTGGGCTCTCACTAATGAAAATATTACACTAGACTGCAGCAATTCTTTCACAAGGTCTCATCTCTACAGAAACACTGAAAAAGGAGCCTGAATGGATGGAACTTCATAAAATATGAGGACACTTATTCACAGTGAAGGGCTTTGTATGACTTTATCTAAATGACAAAATACATGTGTTTATTCTGAATGTCCATACAAGGGCTGAATAAAATTTAAATTATCCACTCCAAAACTGTTTCTGTGGGCCACAGAAAATTCTTAGCATAATATCCCATTACGCTGCCATCCAAGTTCAAATTTCAATTCTGCTAATCCTATTTGCTCAGGAGACAGAACATAGTAGAAGAGTTTCAGAGTTAAAGATTCTGATTGGGATTATTAGAGTTTTATTGCATCACTCCCTGAATAAACTGAGCAGGAAGCAAACTCTGAAAGAGTCACTAAGGTAATTTGAAATGGATGTAGATACATAATTGGCTGCCTGATGTCCTAATAGAACAGTATGTTCTGTGGGAAAATGAGAAAGAGGGAATGGCAACCTTTTAACACTGGCATTTTCCCTACTTGATGAATGTCAGATTAACAACAGACACTTCTCACAGGTTATCAACAAAAGGATAAGAGGCAACAGTTGTTAGTTGCAGGAGGGGAAATTCTGACTACATATAAGGCTAAAAAAAATAATGGAGAAAGTTGTACTTTCTAGTACAACTAAGTACTAGAATGGCCCAGAGAGGTTGTGGAATGCCTGTCTGGGTGATAGACAGAATGTAGCTGAAACTTAGAAGTTTCAGCTTTGCCTTGAGCAAGTGGCTGGACAAGATGACATCCAAAGATCCCTTCCATGAACCCTTTCTATGCTTGTCAGCTCTGAAAAACCTTAACAGAGAACTGGAGAAGCTTCACTAAAAGTTAAACATATTGACCTCAACAAAAGTTTGTTTCAGATCAAGCTTCTTGCCTACAAACTCTTTTTCACTTGCACTTCTCTTCCAGGGAAATTCAACGGTCCTCTACTTAACTTTGGATGTGCTGGAAACTGAATGCTCTGTCTTATCCAGAAGACACTGGGAGTCCTGTGAATACAGTGACACCTACCCAATGGCAAGTAATGGCATCTGCACCAAATCATACACAATAATGCACTAAATTTGTCTTCTTCTGAACTGTCCAAAAATTTGTGTCACAAAATCTCTCAGTGAAGACTGGGCTTTAATGTTGCTCATTCTAAACCAAAATCTATCTAATTCTAGAATTGCTAAATATATGCTAAAGGCTTGGGAAAGGATTGACTCTTCAAATAACTATAGCTTTATTTAACTTGTTGTCTCAAAGGAACAATGCTCCACATTCCACTGCTTGTAGCAGGATTTATGTTTTAAGGGTAATTTGCTGACAACTGAAGGGCACTAGAAATTATTTTTTAAGCATGTTCCTGGTATATGAGCCAGAAATACCAGTGGTATATTTTGTCAGTTTTCTATCATAGCATTTGTGGTATGACAATGTGAAATACTGGTAGTGTCAGTACATGAACGATATACAGCAATACTTGTCCTTCCTTTTGCACTCCAATGATGAGCGCTCCCAAAACTTTAAGTAGGAGAGTTGTGATACTATGACAAAATATAAAACAGAAAGGCTAGGAGGAGAGAATAGAAAGCATTTTTTTTTTTAATGGAGGAAAGTCAAAGGAAAATTGATGAAAAGTCCATCCACTTTTGACAAAGATTTGTGTAACCTGGCATTCTAACTTTCCCTGCCATCTTGTCTTATCCTACTCTAAGTATCAGGATGACTAAGAAAGCTAGTTTGGTTTTTTCCATTGTCTACTCTATCGTGTAAACTGAGAATTTAAATAAAGGCTCTTGTAGACAGAGATCCCATTTTATCTGAAGACAAATTTTGAGTGGTACCTGATCAAACATTCCATTAATGACTACATCTGTTGTTCTTAGAGGTACTGCACATTAAAAGGAGGTATAATTTCTATGATAGCCTACATCAAATTAAATCCAGTGAAAATAACATGATAATCATGTATTCTTTTTTCCTCTCAGGACTTTGGGCAATGTAAGATTATCACATATACAAACCATCTGCTGAAGAAACCTCAACTATATGGATTTAATTGTACATTAAGTCCAGGTAAAATAACCACTGCTGTAAGCCAATGCATACCTCAAACCAGCCCTTGTACCAAAGTCAGTACACTACCAGTGTATGGAAACCATAACAGATTCATTCATCTGCTTGTAATTCATATTTTAGATAATTCAAATGGAATGTTAAGAATGAGTAATAGAATTAAGGTTACCCTACTCCTCTAAACCAGACTTTATTGATGTCAGATGATATTACCATTCCAGTCCACCAAAATATGATAATGAATATGAGAACAAATACAAACTCTGGAAGACTGCACATTTAGGGTGGTAAGATTCTAAGGTGATTTATAAGAATACTCAGTTTCATGGGTTTGGGTTTTTTTTACATTACAGGATAAACCCATATTTGTGGAGCGAGAGACAGTTATTTCACTTCCAAGGAAACTCTGCATTTAAGTTTCTCATTATGAGTTCACATTAAGGCATGGGCACACTCCCAAGAGTATTAATATCCACTGCAATATTAGTAAATTATTTGTTTTCACAGTTCCACCTGATGTAGTAGAGTGCAAAGATTGTCCAGTGAAACTTGAAGCCTTAGAAGTCACTGAGCAACATAGAGATATTGCTAAAAAGGCCCTGAAGAAATTCAACAGTGAAGGTAACCACACAAACAACTTTGCTGTGGATAAAGTTGAAAGAATTTTAAAGATGGTAAGTGGCATTTTTGGGACCAAAACTCAAACCCTTCTAGGATCAGATCTAAGTTGAATGTCCTACTTTGGCAAAGACTTGTTATTAACTTCAGTTTAGATGTGTGACAGCAAAAGGATTTCTTATTTGCTAGAGAACTATGGCTGTGTGATGACATTCAGAATGTAAGGCCTTCTTTCTGGACATATTTTAAGTTTGAATGACTAATTACCTATCATGACATACATGAGTTTATTTACTACTGAGTAGATTTCGAGATGGACAATCATGTATTATCACAGTCACATATTTTGTCAGTTGCAGACAATTTTTTACTCTTAGAATACTTAGCACGTGGGTACAACAAACAGTGGAACATGCTCAGCATCATTTTGTCTCGACGCAGAGCAAAGCAGCACTCTGAGGACAGGAGGTGAATTTGTGCTGTAACACTTGAAGAACTTCAGGGTCTGGTAAATATCTCCATATCTAAGTGATGTCAACATGAAGACTTATCCTTTGCGTGATTTGAAGTATATTAATAACAAAATTTCTTGTTGGTAGATACTGGAGACTTTCACTTAAACAGCATGGGATCATTCTGCCAACACATGTGTCAGCTCAGGACACCTCAGTAATGAGGTCCCATGGCTCCCACCATAATACATGCTGATCTTGGAAACTGCCTAAATGATAGCATGCCAAACCCACCTCCCTGCAGCTTTTAATATTGCTCAGAAACCTGACAGTATCCCACACTGTAGCCCTGTGCACAATATATCCCTACTGCCATTTAGAAAGGGATTGCTTTCACATTGCCTGGGTTTGTGTGTTTCCCCCCAAACACTTTGTTTTCACACTTCACCATGTTCAGCTACAGCAACACTTTACATTGTACCACTGGATTTTAATGCTCAGAAACTATGAATTACAATAAAAAACCATACCATAAAGTACGTGCACACACTTTTAACCAATTTAGTTAAACTAGTGAAACTCATGTGTGCACACATGCTAAGGACACCTTCAACATAGACTTGAAATAAAAGTACTGCTATAGTTGGAAATTAAAATGAAACACCTCTTTATGGATTTTAATAGAATAACAAAGGCTTTCTCCCATGTTCATATGGAGTAAGGCCTTCTCCATAACTAATGCCCTTGACAACAGAGAAAGCAACATTCTCACAGTAACTAGCAGAATTTCACCTTAAATTAACAGCAGCACTGTAATACACTCCCATCACTGGAAAGGGGTGGTTGCCATCCAATAGATCTCTACTTTCACAGGAGCAGCAGTTCAGCTTAGGGAGAAGACTCTAAGGACACTACTTCCTAAAGTCAGAGGCTGTAAAAGTAACAGATTTTATAACATACACATACTAAACAAAGAATTAAAGCAAGCGTTCCTAGAAGTTGCAAGAGTGTGAGATATAAATTATCTAACCTGTTTTCCTTGCTGAATATGTGTATGTGCATGAACAGTTGAACAGGACAGGTAAGGAAAACATGAAGTAGATGGGATTTTGACAATAAGATGATGTATGGTTGCTCTGAAAATTACAAGACTTTAAATACACTTAGTTACCACTTCTTCTTTGACCTCTTGGTTTCAGACTGCCTCCCGTGAAGGTCACGTTTTGGGATTCTCTATAAAAGAGACCAACTGTTCCAAATCTATGCAGGAAACAGATCAGGCATTGGAATGTGATTTTCTGCATGACTGGCATGCTGTAAGTAAAGTCTTAGGATGAGAACTGATATAATGGGTGGTACCAAGAAGATTCTACCAATATATATTCAAGTGTTTATTATAAGCATGCATCCAAACTCAAAACCAAAAATCCAGCATGTTCAAGCCCAAATCCTAATTTTACAGCTGCTCCTTAACCTTTTATAAGGAAACAGTCTGAACTCTCAAATCTTAATGTAACTGGAATCTGGCATGTTAGAGGCCTAGAGTTTTTCAGGTTATATCTGGTTTTTGCATTCAAATTGTAGCCAATTCCTATCAAATCATTCATGCTATGTCCATAAAAACTTTTACACCAATATGAGTCATAGATCCTGAAAAAAATATATGTCTTATGTCATCCCAGTGAACTCAGGGTCACCTTTTTCTCTGCTGCAGAGGAACAGAGATTGGAATAATTCAATCTCATCTGCAGAAAACTATCCAAGTATTCTATTCACCCCATTTTTCCATTACCATTATAGTCTACACCAAAGAAACAGTTAGGCAAGATCTCATAATTTTAGAATAAATTATTCTCCAGAAACTAAAATGAAATTATGAAATAAAACATGGAAAAAATAGAATATGTAAAACTTTTGGTTTATATACATCCATCACCTTCTCTGGCTTTTTATACTCCAGAAGAGTGGAAAAGGCTGTGAATTAACTGGTAAGGGAGCTACAAATTCACTAGTACAAAGCACAACACAGATGGCTATAGAGAGTTTAAATTCTGTTCTCAGTGCTGCCATCGCTGCTGTTTGTGTGTAAAATGCCATTACCATTTATAGTCACTGATCATAATGGGCTACTAATGGCCCAAACAAATATCAAGATAAAGCACCCAGTACAGAGAGCATACACAGAACCCATAACCTGAGTTCTGTGCTCTTTCACATGAGCAATTCCATACACAATGACTGGACAGCAGGAGAAAGTCACAGCAAACAGGATGCTAAGGGAAGTAATGCAAAAAAATTAAAACAAACTGTTTTTTAAAAAAATAAATGGAAGAAACTTCTGCCTTGAGCTTTGTCTGAAGCAACATAGCAACACAATGCCGGATTTTGAGACTTGAATTACAGAATAGTCCAATCTGAACAGATGTTTGACAAGAAAAGACAGAAAAAAAAAAAAGCAAAAAAAAAAAGCAGGCACCCAAGGATACTCATTTTGGAGGCATTAGTAGCTGGCCAATCTTTTAGACGTCAAAAGGGAAGCAAGATGCAGAGTAGTAGACCTCTAGGTGCACATGGTGAAGTGCATCTAGAGTACATCACAGTCAGGAACCCTCAAAAATGGCACATATTTGAATCATTATTAAACACTGGCAAACACTGGTTGGAAGGCTCAGGATCTGGCTAAGTTATGTGAACACACTTAGATGTCAAAGGAATAGCCTAACTTGTAAAATGTTGAACATTCAGCAGTTTGCATTAATTCCATCACAAGAACCCAGATGTGCATTGTGGGTATTTTCCTTGTCTTTTGCTTAGCACACAGGATTCTGCAAGGCAAGAATTATCAGTGATGCAGACGAAGCTGATGGAACAGATATAAGCTGTGAAATCTACCATCCCTGGGTATGTACTAAGTTATGGACACATCTTTGGCTGCATCCTCGTGCAGGTTACAGCAACCTTGCTTAGTCCAGACTGGCAGATGATGGTAACATGCCAATATTGCCTGCAGGTGATGCAGCACGTCAGGACGGACTGACCTGCAAGTCCTAGGTCAGTCAAAGGATGAAACAGAATTGAGCTGTCCCTACTACTCCTTCCAAGTGTGTCTTCTCTCAGTTCAATCACCTGACTAAGTATAAGTGAGAGATTGGCGAGCAAGTTCAAAGAAATTTTAGAAAGCAATAGGAGGGAAGATGATCTTTATCATATTTGGTATTCCAGTTTACATCACAACAGCTATTCCAGTGTGGATTTATTTTGTTTTGATCTATCACAAATATTTCTCAGCTGCTTATATAATTTTGGCATCATGTAGTGTTTCCAGCAGATTTTCAGTAACTTGGCATATTATTATCTACTCCTTCTCCTCCATTGTGAAAAAAATGAAGATTTTTTTTTCTTGAAGATCATCAGGCTATAAATGCAAACCTACTAACTCCCACCTCTCTCTTGCTCATCAATTTCTTCTGTCCTATCAACACTTGATTAATACTTTCTCCCTGGTGTTTTTATAAACAGCACCATGGCTGTGGGCGAAGAGGGAAATATTCAGCTCTGGGACATCCACACAGACATCCCCATTGTCATCATCATTTTGGTCACAGACATCACCATAAGCATCACCACAGACATGAATGTCCTCCCTTTTCTCAGTCCAGACCTGAAGACCCTGAGCATAACCCCAAATCCAGCAAGGAAGATCAAGACAACAATAAAGGACTTTCTTCTCCCCCTCCTCCCCATGATGAACCAGACCACCACCATCCTACTCCTCCTCCTCATGGACCAGACCACCACCACCCTCCTCACCACCATGGACCACCCTGTCCCCCTCCTCATGGACCAGATCATGATCATCCTCCTCACCACCATGGACCACCCTGTCCCCCTCCTCATGGACCAGATCACGACCATCCTCCTCACCACCATGGACCACCCTGTCCCCCTCCTCATGGACCAGATCACGACCATCCTCCTCACCACCATGGACCACCCTGTTCCCCTCCTCATGGACCAGATCATGACCATCCTCCTCACCACCATGGACCACCCTGTCCCCCTCCTCACAGATCAGGTCACCACCATCCTCCTCACCATCATGGACCACACTGTAGCCCTCCTCCAGGACACCCTCCTCATCACTGTCATCACTATCACAGACAACATCACAACAAGACAAGCATATCAGGAAAGTATTTTCCATGCCATGTAACAGGAGCTGTCTATCGCATCCCAGTTCTAAATCAGCAGGATTCTCTCACACCTCCCACTGCAAATTTTCCTGAACTATCCCAATGCAACTTTCACTTTTCCAGCACTGGCTCAAAACTAAAGGAGATGGAAGAAGCTCCAGGCTTTCCAGATCACCCTGCACAATCAAAATCATGCCCTGGAAAACCCAAACTTGACCTTCCAAAAATTTTGCATTTATTTCCTCATAGCTTTGTAACAGAAAATTCTCCTATATGACTTCAGAGAAAGATGTTCCTGGCTTGATAATTTCAAGGGTAATCACAGTCCTACAGTCAATGAAAGCAGCACATGGAGAAGTGGGAAAAGCATTCAGTTTCTAGGAAGGAGAATCACTGAAAATAATCATTAAGTATTTCAACCTGCTTCTTCATACTAGCTATCTCAAGCTGCACTGTAACTAAAAGGCCCAAAATTCTGAGTCCTTCAGATAATGTGAAGGGGTAAAAATTTCCCCAGAAAATAATGCTCCTCCAGTTCTAAGAAAAAAGGAAGTTCTCCAATAGAGCAAAATAGAGCATCAAAAATCTTGCATTTTTTTCATCATTCATAATTATAATGTACTTCTCCAAGGAATCTGACCTAGAGGAAATTTGAATGCTTTCCATAAAAAGTAATCCATGACACTACATTCAAGCTTTATACAGATTTTAAAAAAATAAAAAACATGCAAGCATTTTTTTCTTGACACAGTTGTCTGTTTTGTTTTTTGGGTTTTTTTTACGACATGTAATTAGGTATTAGATATTGAACTAGAAATGATATTAAACTATTAAGCTATTTTGGTATTAAACATCCACAAAGCAAACTCTACCACAAATTGACTAATGGTGTTTGGGTTAGCACTTTCGCTAGAAGAGGTCTGAGAACAGTTAATGACTTGCTGTCGCACTGCAGGGTGGCCTGCACAGGTGCTTCCATTGCTACAGCTGCTGGTGGTGAGACATAGAAATATTGCAGTCAAGGACAGCCCTTCTCAAATAGTTCATAATTGTTCTCAGGGGAAGAGAAAAGCAGATGCATGTAATAACTCTTCCATGTAAATGTTTTCTTTATTGCTAAACCTTCCTCACTGGAAACTGAGTTGGCAGGAGCAGGAAGAAGGAATAGTGGTGCCTCTTTATACTCCACCCCCACCAAGGTCGAGTCCATTCAGATTGTCCGGGGACAAGCAAGCTGGCTCAGAATAGCTATGTCATAAGCAAGAATATGGGATTAATCTCAAAAAAGTAATTTGATCGTCCAAAAAGCTTTTTAATGGCATAAAGTCAAACACAGTGCAAGGGCCACATTGAAGAAAAAGAAAGAAAATGAGGATTCAGTGTGACTGAGTGAAGATTGACTAATTTTTAAAAGTATCTTATTATGTATGAACAGACTTATTTCTGGTGTAGTTTATCCACAGTCTCTAAAGTGCATTTTCTTTAACTTTTCAAAACTTGTAGCAAATGTGGTGATCTGGCCCTGGCTGGGTGCCAGGCACCCACTTAAAGCTGCTCTGTCACTGCCCTCCTCAGCCAGACAGGGGAGAGAAAATACAACAGAAGGCTCATGGGTCAAGGTAAGGACAGAGAGACAACTCACCAAATATCATCACAGGCAAAACTGACTGAACTTGGGGAAATTGGTTTATTACTAATCAAACAAGAGTAAGGGAATGAGAAATAAAGTCAAAAATTTAAAACACCTTCTTCCCACCCCTCCCTTCTTCCCAGGCTTAAATTTTCTCATTTTCTCTACCTTCTCCCCTAGCTGGTGCAGGGGAATGGGAATTGCAGTCAGCTCATCACATGTTGCTTCTGCCCTTCCTTTTTCCTCAGGATAAGGATGCCTTACATCCTCCCTTGCTCCAGCTAGGGATCCCTCCCATTGGAAGCAGTTTCTCATGAACTGCCCCAGTGTAGGTACTTTACATGATGTGCAGTCCTTTAGGAACAAATTACTCCAGCATGGGTGCCCTCACAAGTCCTGCCAGCAAACCAGCTCCATCACAGGCTTCCACAGAGTCATAGCCTCCACTGGACATCCACCTGCTCTGGCATGGGGTCCTCCATGAGCTGCAGGTGAATCCCTGCTCCACCACTGACCTCCAGGGGCTGTAGTGGCACAGCTGCCTCACCACTGGTCTGCTCCATAGGCTGCAGGAAAATCTCTGCTCCATACCCACAGCAGTTCCTCCCACATCTTCTTCATGGGCCATGGGGTTTGCATAGCTGTTTTCCTCACATACTCCTCTCTCCTGTTCTTTCCCAGTTCCCCTTTTTTCCCCTTCTCCACTATGTTCTCCCACAGGCACTACTACCAGCACTGATGGACTCAGTCTTAGCCAGAACTGGATCCATCTTGGAGTTGACTGGCATTGGCTCTGTCAGACATAGCAGAACCTTCCCGCAGCTTCTCACAGAAGCCACCCCTGTAATCCCCTGCTGTCAAAACCTTGCCACGCAACACAATACAGCAAGACACAGCTGGAATACAGGAGCTGAGGCAATCCCAAGGTGTTCACAGATCCAAAGCAAAGCTATTTGGTGCCAAACATGGGAGACAAATACCAGATGTTCTCAGCCAGCTCTAACCCTGGTTTGGCTAGACTCAGACAACAGTGTTTAATCCTTTGTTCTCGGGTGTCACATATCTGTAACAATAACAAAGCACTACGATCACTGACTAATCCATAGCCCAGGCAATCTCCATATGGCAGCAGAGATGGACTTTCCAATAGGTCTAGTAGGATCATGAAAGACAAGGTTTATCAAGTGCTATTGAAGGGTTACGTGATGTTCAACCATATGTATCAGTTCAAAGACTTTACAAATGCTTCCTGAGTACTGTAATTCTCAGAATTGTTGCAGCCTGAACACTAAGCAGATCTATAAAATTTACAAGGTTGTTGTCCAAAACTCCATTGCCACTGTGACCTTCTTGGGTGTTTTATTTAAGCCTTGTAAAATTCATTCTCAGTAGCAGTTTAGGTGTTAAGAAGTCAGAAAGCTACTTCTTTCTCCTTTGCTTTGCCTAAAGTGGTCCCCAGCTGCAGCCATTTATCCTGTTATCTTGATGGCAGGTGGATAACCTTAGTGTCATTCTGGTGAACAAACAAAGTTTATTTAGATAAACTCAGAACTTTATTTGCAGTATAAACAGGGTATGATGAGAACCAACCAACCCCAGCAACCCACTCGTTCTGTTTACTTAACTATTGCTTCTGAAAAACAGAAGAGGTGACTAAAATCCTGTCAGGCATTCCTTTTCCATTTGGTTTTTAAAGAGCTTTCTAATTCAGGGGGCATTTTTCATCCAATTATGAAGGCCTTCATTGTACTAGCACTCTGCTGTAGTTTTTTCTCTAGCAGAGCCATTCCTCTTGCATTTGAGTTTTTGGACTGTGATGACCCTGATGTCTTTAAAGCTGTTGATGCAGCACTGAAGAAATTCAATGGAGACAGAACAACTGGTAACCAATTTGCTCTATACATGGTGATGGAAGCCAAGAGAACTGTAAGTAGACTTTGCAAAAAAAAAGAAAAAAAAGTTGGAATTGTTTATGCACTCTGAATCAGCTTATCTCCATCTCATTTGTAAGGGGGAAAGCATGATAGTGTCTTCCAAAAATGTTTTTAAAAAATCAAAGTGACTTGCACAGTAAGATACTTGTTCCCATGACAAGCAGGGGTGTACAGTATGTTTTTATCAGCAGAACCCTGTGTGCTGGTGAATTGCTTACTAATGCAAGGACTAAAGAATATAAAACTTCTATCACCAACAGTATTTGTCTTACTATTTCACTCTGTTCCCTTTTTCTTTATTGGGAATTCTACCCCTTTGCATCATCTGTAAGGTTTTCAGACCAATGGCAAAACCATAGTTATTAAAAAATACGAATATAATCTTGACTTAGAAAGAGCTGGTGCTGAGCATAAAAAAGAATCACCTGATAAAGTTTGGCAATATTCTGAATTATTTATGAATATTATTTGATTGACACCAGTCCTAAGTCAGAGATCTATCTAGAAGCTCTAGGTGGTATTTTAGTCAAATAGGGTGACAGCTAAAATTACAGAAGAAAGAAGAATGCAACATGATCCTTTGCCTGGAGTCCTTCTATATAGCCTTAATCTAACAAAAGAGTATTTACCTCAGAGAGGCATACAAAGATAGTATTACCATAATAATGGCAAGCATTATCTTACTTGAAAATAACATTAGCATTTTTTTCGACTGGATTGGATTTTCAGATGTAAACCACAAGAAATCCAGTGTTAGTGAGAATATTTTGCACTCCAAAATCACAAGACACTTTTACCCAGATAGAAATTGACCTCTGAAAGGAGCCATGCATTGCTAAACACATTCAGCAAACTACCCACGTCTCCTGGCATCTACCCTCTCGTGTTCCTATTTACACACTGAGGAGATTATAGCATGTGGAGACAAAGAGTAAAATCAGAGAACCCTTTATATAATTAATATTAAGTAAATGAATAGTCGCACTGTTCTCACTAAACTGCATACATCCTTAACAACAGCCAAATGCAAATATCTCTATATCAGAGCTGTAGTACCACCTACCTTCCTTTTGCTGGTATTCCCAAAGGAGAGAGAGGAGTTTCAGAATTTTATCTTAAACAATTTTTATTTTTAAGGATACATATTTATTGCAATTATTATTAATCTTTCCTTCTCTAGATATCCATCTTTCCTTTTCTTAAAAGATATGAAGTGGAAATCAATTATTACTTTGAATCATTGATCTGATTATGATGTTAAGTAAAAAAACAGAGAAAAGGAATCTGCAATTGAAATTTCCTCATATTTGAGATTCTTTTTCTAAAGAGTATAGATTTTACTCCTTGCTAGTCTCACAATGTTGAATGCATTAATTAAATAGCTGGTTATTACATATTCATGTACATTCATTATTGATAGGGAAATAAAACATAAAAGCTGACTAGTGAAAGAGTAAACCTGGCCCAGTTAAAGGCATAGCTGTTCGTAATAATAATGAAATAAACTAATAACAAATTATACAGAAACAATGTCTTTTCTCACTTTGATTACTTACTGAGGTGATTTACTGTAGATTTGGAACACTGTAACAGAGAACAGAATTTGGCTCTTTTTAAATTTCAAATAGTATAATCTGATGTAGTTCCATAAAAGTAAATTCCTACCTGCTGAGGATTGAGTCTATTATATTTTTAGAGCCCCTTTTATCCTTTCTTTACAACCATTATATAAGGTACCTCTACACTTCTTCTGTAGCAATACACAACAGGAATTGAGAGAAGGCAGAATATAATTCTGTGTCTACATCAATGTAAATCCAGTATATGCCAACCACATCAGCTCAGCTTCATTTTTTTGGTAGCACTAAAGCAAGAATTATCATTTAATCCTCCCAGCAGAGACAGAGAACAGTAACTGGCTATTTTAGAATAATCAGCACTAAACTACAGCAGCTGCCTGTTTGTATTTGAAAAGTTACATTGGCAGAGCATTTTTAGTGGCTGTAAAAGGTTGCTAGCTTCTGACTTTATATCTTCTCTAAAGGATGAACCACAAATCTTACAGTGTTGTCAGTGTCACCTGTAGGCACAGGCCCACTACTTGGTTTATGACAAGGAGAAAATGCCCACTAGTGATTTAACAACTTCTGAAATACTTACACTGGTTGGGCCAAACTTTGCT